GGTTCATAGAGGTCATAGAAATGCATTGCCTTTTTCATTAATGTGATGTTGCCCTTTGGCTAAAATTAGTTATCTCAGAAGCCAGTTGCCTACCTGTTGTAACAAGCTTCACTTAGGGAGTGTTTGCGATGCCCTAGAATGCTGCCTTTATAGGGATCTGACAAGTTTTTGGAACTGCACAATAGTCTTGCATTAAAAATGGTTTTGTGTCTGCTATCATACCAGAGGCTCACATGCTGTTGCGGCGGCTCCTGGGAGACTGTCTTTCATTCCTCTGCGTGTCAGACTGGATCACTGACAGATGGTCTTGCCCATCAGAATCTGTTCCTATCAGCCTGGCCGAGGAGGGGGTGTCCAGTACAAACCCTGCACTCTGCAACCCATGCATGTGCACATGCAGTGCATCATAATCTTCTCCTGCTAAACCTTCTTATTAGCCTCCTCTGTGCCTGACGTGGTTCATGCTGACCTGTCACCAGTGTTCCTGCTGAAATCTAATGGCATGTTCAACACAGTTATGGAGGGAGCTCTTGGTTTCTCACACCAACAGTATTGATAATTTGAGTTAAGGCGTGAGCTGAATCATTTTACTTCATTTTCAAAATATATGAAAATTGTGCAGAACTGAAATATAACCAGTGTCAGTCGTCATTTCTCGGCTGTTCTGCCCAAGCCTCTGAATAAATAATGAACTGGTTGAGCTCAGATGGTATCAGTTCTTCACTAAGGAAGGAGGAGCGGAAATGGCAGGGGTCTTGAAACTACCTCAAATTGCATGACTATAGAATTTGAAACAGGTCCAAGAGTTAAGAAGCAATCACAATAAGAGTCATCCACTTTTAATGCATTGGTCACTTTGTTTGCTTTTCATTCAGCAAGCAGCACTGCTTTATGGGATTCAGATAAAGCCATTATGTGCCCAGTAAAGTGAAATGGATTGATTGATTACAAGGTATTAGGCAGCATCTCTCCTCTATAAGCAACAACCTCCAGACACTCACTGGGTTATAAAATCAGACCCGCACAGACCCACTCTTAAACTCTTTTTTTTAATGCTTTCTTGTTGCTGCGCAACTGTGAAATTGTATTTCTGAGCAGGGAAAATATTACTGAAATTACACTTGAGGTCATAGGTAGGGCTGGGCGATATAGCTAAAAAAATTAGCAACGATATAATGTTTCATATCGTTCGGTATCGATAATTATTGACATTTTTTATAAACTTTTTTAAAACAAAGAGCAATAGAACAAAATTTTAATTCAACCACTGTATTTTTAATGTACCCAATTTAAGACAAACAACACATTTTTTTTGTTTTAACAGTCAAACACAAAATAACATTTAAACAAATATTTCATTTCTTATATTTTATATGCAGATTAAATAGCCACAAGAGGGTGCAATGAGCAAAATAATGCAGCGCATTAAATTGTTTACATAATGCAATTAAAATAACAGTCTATAAAAAAGTGCACAACATCTAAATTAACATATATAAATCAAATATAATTTTGTAAATTGCATAAACAATTATGAACAAAACAGCATCATGTAT